ATAACAAAAAAAAAAACTATTTCGTAGTGCTATAAATTTCAAGTCATACAAAACTTTCCATACCAAGTGTGAGAAATGATAAACATGAAAGCTATCAATGGTAAAATATCGCATGGGATAAGAAGTGAATATAACATATTTGCTAATAATCTCCAGCAACTTTGAATTTTATCAAACGTTCCCAATATTAATTGACTTGTAAACAACCAAACTAACAAAACAAATACAAGGTAGAAATGACTGATTGCTCTAACTTATAAAAGGAGAGCCTGATCTTGATTGTTGTCTGATTGTTCTCCATTGTCGAACTCAAAAGATTCTGAAGCATATACGCATCTTGGCGCTTCTCCGTTTCAGGAAAGAACACTCTTTTCTAGAACCGCCCTCTCATCTTCCTCAATCTCAGCCAATGTTTCAGCCTTGTCATCCTATTTCTCTCACATGCAGCATTATTCCGCGTCACTCTCTCTTCCATCTCATCGACCCACCTTCGCGCGTTCCGATTAGATAATTGCTTTAGAGGTTTGTTCTTTTGGAGTTCATGTGTCTGAGATTCGAGAAAGCTATGAGCTTTAAAGCTGACAGACAAGATATATATTTTATTGGATTTAGAAATGTGGTGCTCGTCAAAGTTAAGGTAGGAGAAGATCATCATAATCAGATTCCTGAACTTACCCGCAAGGGGAAGTGATATATTGTGTTTTTATCGGTTTTAAGTCTTTCTTTTCTTTTTCATTTTATAACTTTTATTGAGTCAAAGTGTGTTTTTAGAGTCTTTTAGTCCATTATAGAGTTCTTACAGGTTTTAGGTTGCTTTGGAATAAAACGAGCTGTTTTGGGAAGCAAACACACATTTGGAGATGCAGATTCATGTAGAAGTGTCAGACGTTTGGCATCAGATGTACAATTTTCCACCGAGAGATCGTTTTCATATTTTGACAAAAGATGAAGACAGATGTTAGCTTTCATTTGCAAGTGATTTCAAGGAAATCTATCGGTGCATTCATGAGTTACACTCGATTGTGTGAAGACAGGTCATTCTGACGAGTTGTTGAAGCTGATGTAGAAGTAAAACCTGGGAGCATAAGACCGATCGGTCTACATTTGGATCGATCGGTTCCTTACCTCTGACGCATTTGTTTGGCCCATATTCGATCCGAAACACTTCAGGACAGACCCAAATTGTCTTCTATTGTTTATTTACCCTAGGTTCGACTTTTTAGCAGCTATCCTTCATATTTTTCAGTTCTAAACATTGTTTCTTGCTTTCTAAACAATTTTGGGAGAAGAATCCATCCTCTTGACACTTGGAGAAGATTTCTAAACCCTTTCTTATTATATTTGCAATTTCATCATGTTTTCTTTCATATCTATTTGCTTTGTTTCAATTGCTATGTCTGAGTAGTCTCTTAATTGGGTTTTAGGGTTCCAAGTAGGAGAATTCAATGATTTGATAGATTAGATGTCTTAGGGAATTCTTAATTTTTGGGTTCTTCAATTTACATGTTCTCAATGCTAGAATAGGATTGATCACCCTGTTTTAGAACTTAGGCTTTTATGTGTTTCAGAGATGTTCGATAAAATGCCTAAATGAATGTAAATTGAGCATAGTTTTTCTAACCTGCGAGAGTTGATGTTAGAATGCTTTGTGAACCAAATGAACCTGTTTGATAATGCGAATTTGGCTAGGAAATTACAAATGAGAGTTTAGTAATCGAATAGTTGAATTTATTGATTAATGTCTTGCGAGAGAATTGGTCTAAACTTGTGTTCATGTTCAAAAACGTTTCTTCATGTTTGAATTCCTTATTGCTTTTATTTGTTATTCATTGATTCTCTGAAAATACCCTGCTGCCCAATGTCTTTAATTCATAAGTTTAATCTCTTTACTTGCATTTTTATTTACAAAAAATGAAAACCAAACCAAAATTCATAAGTCTTTTCCGCCTTAGCTAAGAATGAGTCTCGCAAGTCTTTAGTGTACCATTGCTCCTTATGATCTGAAAAGACCTGACCCGTTTTTTTAATTCATTAATTAAAAGTCCCATACCTACTAATTAACCTAACCGAATTAACCCAACAATAAATCATCATGCACAGCGGAAACATATTAAACCAACATCAATTCATCATAATATTAATTAACCAATCATTCAATAACCACAATTTACACCAGCAACCTAGCATGCCTCTAAACCAGGTTCCAACAACAATTAACATATTCATAAATATAACAACCGAGACCCTAGATCATCCTCCTCTCCTCGCCATGATTCCACGGATCACACTATACCTGCACCACAAACACAATGAGATGCGTGAGTATTATCACAAATACTCAGTGAGAGCGATCCTCCCATCTACGAGCTATACACACAAGCTATGAGATAACACCCACATATATAACATAAACAAACCATTCAGCAAGCTAAACATCCAATAACACTTCCAATTCACCTACAAATCATCACACAACAAGTCACTCAATCCCAATCGCTTAGATAAGCTCATGGTCACGCACTCACCTTAACAAGGTGATTTGAACTACAAAAACAACCAGGAAAGACTCTCCTCGCGACTGCAACAGCCAAACAACGCCCTACAACAAACCACACAAACAAAAATCTCTAAGAACCAAAAGGACAGAAACAGCAAAAAAACTACAGCCGCAGAAACGAAACCCTAAAACATAAACCAACCGTTAACTCCTTAATCCCTTCGGTGGAAAGCAAGACTCAGACGTCACCAAGCTTCCCAAAAAATTTGATGCCGATCGGAGAAACGATGAAGCCAAGATCGCACTTACAAACTCCGCTGATCCCAGTTCGCAACAGAGAAAAGGCGTCTCACCAAACTGCATATAACTCACTGAATATTAATCCGAATTCACTTCTGTAAAAAGGAGAATCAACGTACACGCCTTAAGACCAAACCTACCAAATTTCGCTACCTTTAGATAAGATTTGATACGTCGGATCTCTATTCTACCAAGACGTGACGAAACTGCTTCTCTTGCCTTAAACACCAAAGCAAAGCTAACCCTCTCCTTCTCACAAGTGAAATTCTCCTTCTCCTTTTCTCAACTCAACTCTCAGAGACAACAGCCACAAAACAAAAGAGAGAATGAAGTGCTCATTATAAAAGTTAGGGTTTTTGGTTTAATCTGATTAAACCATGATTTACCTAAACCGATATTAATTAAAACTCCTTTGATTCAATTGACAAATCGACCAGTTTAGGAAATCCACCGGAATTAAACCGACTCCACCCTAATTCTTATACACATTCAACTCTCCTATTAATTTCCAGAACAGATCGATTGGTAACAGCTTGTAAAGTGGGAAAGTTGTTAAAGGGTGAGGACTTGGGTTCGAGTAACGCCAGGCGCACCAATAACCTACCTGGTGGGCCAGGGGGCTGCGAGCAAGTGGGCTGCGCAGTTTGGACCCACAGGAGAGAGGTTAGGGTCGATGCGCTGCAGCGCTTATAGCTACCATATGGCGGGGTGTGCCATGTGGTAGGGGTTCCCACCGGGATGGGTTGTTACATGATCGATCCCGCATATACTTTACTTCGGTTAAGTTATCGGGTTAAATACTCGAGTAATCAGGAAGATCACACACTAGGATCAAAATAAATAGAGAATACTCACAGATATGGATCTGAAAATCAACACTCGTTGTAGAAAAAGTGTGATCAATTTTCAGATCTATTTCTGTTTATTCTCCATTTGTATTGATCCTAGTGTGTGATCTCCTTCTTCAAGCTGAATCCGAGAATCGGATTGTTGTGAGCTTCTCCTTCCTTAACTTTGACACGCACCTCTTTTCTGGATCTAGTTAAAAATGTATATATCTCTCGTGTGCCTTTCTTGAAGGTCATAAGTTTCTTTAATTTCATAGACGGTGAACAGCAAAAGTTCAACACTCGGAACCAAATATCTCATCGGAAGGCGAGAGCGGTTCGATGTGATGAAATTTCCAGAGTTGATGGCCAAGTCAAGTTTGATAAGCCAGCCCTGCCTCGGGGAGGAGGAGAGAGCGACTCAGAAAAAAAGCGGCACGTGAGAGAAATATGTTGACAAGGCCGAACCATTGGGGGAGATTGAGGAAGATCAGAGGAATATGTTTAACAAGCACCACTTTTCTCTAAGTTAAAAATGCATCTCTTGTGTGCCAGTCTTGAAGCTTAAATCTCACACATATTAAACTACAAAAGATCAACAACTCGTTTGATCATATTCGTGACAATATGATTAGTTTTATAACATCTTATTGATTCGTGAATGACACGTGTTTATTGGATAGATAATATATTGACACATGTTAATTTTGATTTTATTAAATTATTTAAAAATAAACATGTAAAAGTTGAAATCTAGATATAAGTTAAGAAAAGCAATTTATTCCTAAATTAAAATATTATTAAACATATATTTTTTTTAATTAACCTAACTTTATTGAGAAATTATTTTCTTTGTTCATATATATATTAATTCAAAACAAGTAATAGTTCGTATTCTTGAAAAAAGCTGAAATCAGAAATTTTTTCATCTTATTAGAAAGTTTAAACTTTCTTACCATATCCCAAGATATATCAACATCGTAATCAAAGAGACAAAAACGCAAAAGGAAAAAGAAGATGATTAAAGAAAATATTTTCTTAATACCAATATACATACATATATACTGTATATGAAGAATACCAAAAACTAAATATTATTAGCTTTGAAGAAGTATAACTAAAGCTACATATGGTTCATAAAATAACAGTTTATACGGTTATTTTGTATATTTTTTGAATGTTTTATATTTTTGTTAAGATAACTATAGATTTATAAATATCGAATTTTTACATTAATAAATTTATCGTTCTACATATTTCACATAATTATGAGATATAACTAAAATAATAATAAAAAAATACTTTGGCCATAGAAAGATCGATATAGTATATATATAAGTGGTCAACCTCTTTGCTGAAATAATAAGGTAAAGACACATATGAAAGATACATAAAAGTTGATATAATTTCAAGGTATAAATTTCTATTATTTTAAAAGGTTCATGGTTATTATTCACCTAATCTATTGAAATTTCATGGTTATATAATATACATAGATATTTCAAAACAAAAGTGTTAAAAAAGTGGTTGCTGGTGCATGTTGAGGAATCTTGGATTGTCTCTGAATGTTATATAAGTTATATAAGTTCCCCTGGTCTCCAAATATAAATCTCCAAGGAACCAAATAAGGAAAGTTCCATTTTTGGCAACATATGGCCCTCGGGTAAGGTCAAATGAGTAAGTGCAAATCCAACTCGAACCAGGGGTGGTTTAGCTCAATCATTATGCTCCATATGGTTGATGTTTTGGTGAATAATGAAGCCGATGTCAAATGCACGAGTGGATTCTCTAAACTGCTGCTTAGCTCGCCATTGGACATGTCTAAGGAGGCTGTCATGGCCATCTCTTAAAATACCTCTATGATGGACTGATGTTTCTCGATCATTCCTCTTAAAATGTCAATATTTTAGAAGAATTTTGAATCCCACCTTGAATGGATGTGTCGTTTGGTCGGTGGTTCCATACGCTTGCTTGTGGTACGATGGAAACGGGTCTTCATGAACCATCTTGATTTCAGGTCATTCGTCTTTAATTCTGGCTCGATAGATATTCCTGTAATGTGTGTCTTGCTGATTAATCTTCATTATAGGTCGAGGAAAGTGATGCGGACATCGATTATCTTGTCCAACCCGCTGAACTAGATCAAGTACGAGATCCTGTACCACACCCTGTACCAGTCGTCCCAGTAGGTCCCATGACTCGTTCAACGTCTAAACAACTTAGAAAGAGGTTCAATCTAGCTGTACAAGACATTGTGAGCTCACTAGAGCTGAACTACGTCAACTGATCTGTACCACAGTTACTCCATCACGACGGATATGATCCCATTGCCGAGGAAGAGCTTGCTGAAGCATTCACCCAAATGAGTCTTGAACATACCATTTCCCCAGGTATGAATTCTCCTTTGACAGGTCAAGAAACCTCTAGAATCCAAGAGAAGACAATGGAGTCACAAGAGACGAGCAAAACAAGCTTCACCTTCGAGAGTGATCGAGAGAGTGAAGATCAAGAACAAGACATCAAGGACTTGGAATAGCTCCAAGAGACTGATCAAGCTACCCAAGAGAAACTCTAAGAAACTATCTACTTCAAGCAACCAACAAACAAACATGCACCTGACAAGACCCCTGAAGTAGATCAAGACGTAGTTCAGAGAACATCGAGTGGGCCTAGATCGCATCCACTAAGCCCCAACAACGGCTAGAATACGTGCCCTTCAAGTGATTTTAAGTGTGCACAATTAGTTTCTTTATTTTGTCATTTTCTTTCCAAAAACAATGGGTTTTGTGTTTGCTTTTTTATTTGTTTCCTGTTGTATTTCTTTGCATTTATTTTTGACCCTAGGGCTAGCTGATGGACTCTTATAAAGTCCCCCTGCAGCAGTTGTACGATTTTTGACCCTTGATTATCAATAAAGAACCGAAATTTCTTCACTTCTTCTCTTTAAGTGTCCTTAAGAGAATAAGCTTGTTCTTTGTCTTGTGTGTGTGATTCCACAAGGCTAAGATCGTGTACTGTATCAGAGACCAATCACATCTCTGTGGTGTACTTCAATCCGCCAGCACTTCCCCTTCATTCGATCCCACACGAGAGAAGCGACCGCCATCGTGTCAGATCTACATCAACGACCATCATTCCTTCACAAGAGAGAAGCGACCGCCATCTTGTGAAGCCATCATATCTATCCTAATACAAGCTCGCCACCGAGTCTTGTATCATCTAGTATCAGAGCCTCACGCTCTTCCCTTGCCAGGTTTACCTTTTCCATCTTCTTTTGATAGTTTTGAATTCTAGTTTTGTTTTATTTTTCAGAAAATAAAATAAAAATTAAGAACCCTAGTTTGCTGCAGCCTTGTTTCTGTAGGTTGTTTAGTTTTATTTTCCTTAACAAAAAAAAAAAATTGTCACTATTCTTTCCTTAAATCGTCTGCTTCAGTCTTTGATTTAGTTTATGTATTAGTTCAAGGTTTTCGTCAAAAAAAAAAAAAAATTTCGTTTTTAAAGTTTTGCGTCATTATCTTTGTTAGCTAGTATTGTTTAAGTATCTTAAAGCTTATTTAAATTAAAAAAAAGTTTTCATTTTCTTGTCTAATTCAGCACGTGCATCAGTTTCTCGTTTCTAAAGTTTTCATTTTCGATTTCTGTGGTACGTTGATTTCTTTGTTGTTTTTGTCTAAGTGCAGGATAATTTTTAGACACTCACAATGGGAGAACACGCAGCCATACCACAAGATGCCATGATGCAAATGATGCAAACCCTATCGTAACAACTAGAAGGGTTTGGCGAAAGGATATGTCGTTTGGAGCAGCCTCAGCCCAGAGCTGAAGCTGAACCAGTTCAGGTTCAAAGGAATGCCGTGAAGAGGAAGAAGACTCCCTTGACCTGGATGACGACGATGATCCACCACCTGATCCATTAAGGCGTCAACATCAGCGGAGAGAAGATCCCTTGATGAGGAACCGTGCCCAAGAGATGGACACCCGTGAACAAAACCGAGATGTTAAACTAACACCTCCTACTTTTGCAGGAAAATCAAATCCAGAGGTTTACATGGATTGGGAGAAGAGGATGGAATACATATTCCAATGTTATGGATATGGAGAACCCCGAAAAGTAGCCTTAGCATCGGCACAACTCACCGACAACGCCTTATCTTGGTGGGATAGGACAGTGGCCGAGAGGAGGAGGCAAAGATTTGCTCCCATCAACAATTGGGAAGACATGAAGTACCTCTTGAGGTTGAGGTATGTTCCTGATCACTATCATAGAGACTTACAAAAACGTTTTAGAAAATTGTCTCAGGGAACAAGGACCGTGGACGAGTATTTTAAGGAGGTTGAGAAGCTCATGAACTCTTTGGAGTTAGAAGAATCCAACGAGTCATTGATGGCTCAATTCATTGACGGGTTGCAAGAGCGTATAGCCCGAAAAGTGGAGACGTCCAACTTTAGCAGCCTACATGAACTACTTCACAAGGCTGTATAAGTGGAGCAACAAATCAAGCGTAAGATGTCTCTGAGCAATCGTACCAGGAGTAGTACACCTTGGAACGCAAGTAACAACCGAGGCATGGACAAAGGCAAAGCTATAGACAACGATTCTCGATTCAAGAATAAATCTAGTGAAGCGCCTAAGATCACCAAGCCTGAACCAGGTAAGTTTCCTAGCACTAGTCAATCTCGTACCCGTGACATTACTTGTTTTAAATGTCAAGGTAGAGGACACATGGCGAGAGAGTATCCGAACCAACGAGTGATGATTCTCACTCCTAGTGAAGACTACGAGTCTCAAGATGAGCAAGATGAGAACCAGAATGATCCAGAGGCAGATGTGGAGTATCCTGATGTAGAAGAACTCCATGTGATCCGACGTATGCTAAGCGTGTATATCAACCCCAAGGAGAAAGTTCAAAGAGAAAATATCTTTCACACTCGGTGCACAATCAATAACAAGGTATGTAATTTGGTTATTGATGGAGGTTCTTGCACTAGTACTGCTAGCAAGTATATGGTAGACAGGTTAGGTCTTGAAAAGAGAAAGCATCCGAGACCATACAAACTTAGGTGGCTGAACGATGATGTTGAGCTAAAGATCGCTGAACAAGTGACTGTATCATTCAGCGTTGGAAAGTACCAGGACCAAGTTATTTGTGATGTAGTTCCAATGAGAGCCGGACATCTTCTCCTTGGAAGACCATGGCAGTTCGATCGAGCTACTAATCATGATGGTCGCACAAACCACTACTCTTTCACCCACAATGACCGGAAGTTTAACCTTGCCCCTCTAAGTCCATCAGAAGTTCATGAGTTGCAAAAACACATGAACAAAGAGGTCGAGGTAAGAACTTCTAGCCTTTACTTAAGTTCTAGTCAAATTTGTAAAACCATGAGTGTCCATGGCACCGTGCTACTAATGGTTTTCAAAGAATGTCTAAGTACAGGTTTAGGTGAACTTGAACTACCTACTGATGTACGAGCTGTACTAGATCAGTACACCGACGTTTTTCCAGAAGAGATTCCACCAGGACTACCTCCTATTCGTGGTATCGAACATCAGATCGATCTTGTACCAGGTTCTGCCCTACCTAACAAAACTGCTTACCGCATGAACCCGAAGGAGTCTAAGGAGCTAGAAAAGCAAGTGGGCGACTTGATGAACAAAGGGTACATCAGAGAGAGCCTCAGCCCGTGTGTTGTACCAGTTCTTTTGGTACCAAAGAAGGATGGTACGTGGAGGATGTGTGTGGACTGTAGAGCAATCAACAATATCACCATCAAGTACCGACATCCTATTCCGAGGCTAGACGACATGTTGGACGAACTAAGTGGTGCAATCATCTTCTCCAAAATTGACTTGCGAAGCGGCTATCACCAAGTTCGAATGAGAGAAGGCGACGAGTGGAAGACCGCCTTCAAGACCAAGCAAGGTCTCTACGAACGGCTCGTTATGCCATTCGGACTAACCAATGCACCAAGCACCTTCATGCGATTGATGAACCAGGTTTTAAGGTCATTTATTGGTAAATTTGTTGTTGTCTACTTCGATGACATACTTATTTATAGTAAATGCTATTCTGATCACACTAAGCACTTAGAGTTAATTCTGAAAACGGTTCGGAAGGAAGGCCTTTATGCTAACCTAAAGAAGTGCTCATTTTGTACTGACAAGTGTGTGTTCTTAGGTTTTGTAGTGAGTAAAAATGGCCTACATGTAGATGAAGAAAAGATCAAGGCGATCCGTGAATGGCCTACTCCAACATCCATTGGACATGTTCGCAGTTTTCATGGACTAGTAAGCTTCTACAGGAGGTTTGTCAGAGACTTCAGCACAGTGGCTGCACCAATGACTGCTGTAATCAAGAAAAATGTACCATTCTCATGGGGAGAAGCCCAAGAACAGTCATTCAACACGCTGAAAGAGAGGCTCACACAAGCACCAGTTTTAGCACTTCCAGATTTTGAAGTTATGTTTGAAGTGGAGTGTGATGCATCAGGTTTAGGAATTGGAGCTGTACTACATCAGAGGAAAAGACCAGTCGCGTTTTTCAGTGAAAAGTTAAGTTGAGCAGCATTGAACTACCCGACCTACGACAAATAGCTTTATGCCTTAGTACGAGCACTTGAGACATGGCAACACTACTTGTTGTCCAAGGAATTCATCATTCACACCGACCATGAAACTCCGAAGCATCTCAAGGGTCAGACTTCACTCAAGAGGAGACATGCAAAGTGGTTGGAGTTCATCGAGACGTTCCCATATGTGATTAAGTACAAAAAGGGAAAGGAGAACGTGGTAGCTGATGCTTTGTCGAGGAGACATGCCCTTATAGCTATAATGGAGGTTAAAGTAATAGGTTTTGAGCACATCAAGGAGTTGTACAAGGATGATCCAGAATTAGGAGAGTGCTACAAAGAGCATGGCAAAGGAGCTTATCAAGCATTCTACTTGCAAGATGGGTTCTTGTTCAAAGACAAGCGGTTGTGCATCCCTCAAGGTTCAATGCGAGAGTTGATACTCACCGAAGCACATGGTGGAGGGTTGATGGGTCACTTTGGTGTTGACAAAACCTTGGCAATGGTCATGGATCATTTCTTTTGGCCCCATCTCAAGAAGGACGTGGAGAGATTTTGTTCTCGATGCATTGTTTGCCACAAGGCAAAATCCAGGTTACATCCTCATGGTATATATTTACCATTACCTATTCCTAACGCCCCTTGGGTAGATATTTCTATGGACTTTGTCTTAGGATTGCCTAAGATTAGACACAAGGATTCAATCTTTGTCGTCGTGGACCGGTTCTCCAAGTTGGCACACTTCATCCCATGTGACAAGACCAATGACGCTACTCAAACCGCGAATTTGTTCTTCAAGGAAGTGGTGCGCCTCCATGGTATCCCGAGGACCATCGTCTCTGATCGTGACACCAAGTTCTTGAGTCACTTTTGGAAGACACTTTGGAGAAACATAGGTACCAAGCTTCTATTCTCTACAACTTGTCATCCTCAAACGGATGGACAAACCGAAGTGATAAACCGAACTCTCTCAACTTTACTTAGAGCCACTCTTGGTAGGAATATGGCTACATGGCTTGATTGCATTCCTTTTATTGAGTTTGCTTATAATCGTGCCGTTCACTCGGCTACAAAACTATCTCCCTTCGAGATAGTCTATGGACCCTTTATCTCCCATAGATTTAGCACCTTTACCTCAGATAGAACAGGCTTGTCAAGTTGCATTAAGACGAGGAGAAATCATAAAGAAGTTGCATGAAAAAGCAAAAGGCAACTTGGAGAAGACAGCCGTCGACAACAAACGCAAAGCTGATCGAGGAAGAAAAGAAGTGTTATTTGAACCAGGAGATTGGGTCTGGTTACATATGAGGCCTGCGAGGTTTCCAACACAAAGAGCATCCAAGTTATCACCACGAGGCAACAGTCCATTCAGGATCCTCGAGAAGATCAATGACAATGCTTACCGTTTGGAGCTACCTAATGAGGTAAAAATTTCTCATACTTTTAATGTTGCTGACTTGTCTGCTTATGATCCAGGAGATTCAGTTTTGAGGGCAAAACCTTTTGAAGAGGGAGGGAATGATACGGACATCGATTATCCTGTCCAACCCGCTGAACTAGATCAAGTACCAGATCCTGTACTACACCTTGTACTAGTCGTCCCAGTATGTCCCTTGACTCGTTCAAAGTCTAAACAACTTAGAAAGAGGTTCAATCTAGTTGTACAAGACATTGTGAGCTCACTAGAGCTAAACAACGTCAACTGGTCTGTACCACCGTTACTCCATCACGACGGATATGATCCCATCGCCGAGGAAGAGCTTGCTGAAGCATTCACCCAAATGAGTCTTGAACATACCATTTCCCCAAGTATGAATTCTCCTTTGACAGATCAAGAAACCTCTAGAATCCAAGATCGCATCCAGGTAAGTTATATTCAGTATTTTCGATATTTGCAGGTCCACTAAGCCCCAACAACGGCTAGAATACGTGCCCTTCAAGTGATTTTAAGTGTGCACAATTAATTTCTTTATTTTGTCATTTTCTTTCCAAAAACAATGGGTTTTGTGTTTGCTTTTTATTTGTTTCCTTTTGTATTTCTTTGCATTTATTTTTGGCCCTAGGGCTAGCTGATGGACTCTTATAAAGTCCCCCTGCAGCAATATTACGATTTTTGACCCTTGATTATCAATAAAGAACCGAACTTTTTTCACTTCTTCTCTTTAAGTGTCCTTAAGAGAATAAGCTTGTTCTTCGTCTTGTGTGTGTGATTCCACAAGGCTAAGATCGTGTACTGTATCAAAGACCAATCACATCCTAGTGGTGTACTTCAATCCGCCAGCACTTCCCCTTCATTCGATCCCACACGAGAGAAGCGACCGCCATCGTGTCAGATCTACATCAACGACCATCATTCCTTCACAAGAGAGAAGCGACCGCCATCTTGTGAAGCCATCATATATATCCTAATACAAGCTCAACACCGAGTCTTGTATCAGAAAGTCTTCATGTGGTCGATAGAATTGACCATGGTAAGGTACGAATGGGTCGTCGTGGACAGTCTTCATTCGGGTTCGTTGGTTTCTGATTCCTCATGAACCGTTAGTCTTCTAAGGGTTTATTTTATGGTAAATAATCAATCCTAGGCCATTTGCTTCATCGGAACTCCATTTGGGCATGAATCCTTCATTTTTGTCCGGTATGGTTGGTTTGAGGCTCGAACCGGCTGGTCTAAATTGATCTTGGTATGGTGTGGTTTGGATTTCCGTATCAAAGCTCCATACTCAAACCCTAGACCACCAAAACACCCAACACAACAACAAGAACACCCAAACAAAGCCAAAACACAACAATTCCAGCCACCCATATCAATCAAACACACATCATAAGCTCTTATGCCCAGATCAACAATGGTCACGTACTCACCTTAATAGGAATTTAAAAAAACATAGAAGAAGAACCCTCCAGCAACCTCTCTTGATACCTCAGCCACGAATCCCACTGATCCCTTGCTAGAACACCCACGAACAGCCACAAAAACCTCCAGGAAACCCTCTCGAAACCTCTTCTTAAGCCTCAGGAACAAGCCAACAGCTTAGATCAGCCATGGTCAAGCACTCACCTATAATCTGTGATGATTAGAAGAAAGAATGGGAAGAACACAGAAAGACATAACCCTACTGACACCAACAGCCTTGGATCCCCTCTCAAACACCTCCATAACCTTCTAGAATCTCTCCTTAAACCTTATGAAGAAATCCAACTCCCCAACTCTTTCTCTTAGATTTTTAGGAAACAACAAATTTAACAAAATGAGTAGAGAACTGTTGCTTTCGAGTTTAAGTTGAGGTTTGTATTTCCTTTAAACCAAGAACCTATCCAAAATGTTTAAAAGAAATGGATCAGATTACGGACCATATGTTAGTTTCCAAACTAATTAAAGGGAGCATATTATCACACCTTTCCAAAGGCAGATCAAAACTCGAAAAGCTGGCATACATTTGCAGCTTCTACAGTGGGTATATCAATTCCTAATACACAAGTCAAGCGTGTACCCTGAGGAAGCTGAGCCTTCAACTGAATATCCTGTCTCAGTATGGTCCTCTTGCAGAATACTTTCTTCTTCTTCTTGGCAACATCTATTTTAGATACCACTTCTGTCACTGGAACAAATTCACTAGTGCTACTACTACTATCTTCATTTGAAGCATCACTCTACAAAAACACAAAACATCATTATGGTTTTAATTTAAAACAAGATCAAAGTCTTAAAGTACGAAACTAAAGTTTCACCTGGTGGCAGGATTTGCCATTTTTTGAATCGTAGATTCTACGTCCAACGACTTTAACATCAGGATTGCTTTTACGCTTTCTCTCCATAACAACAGTAAACTGTACTAAACGAATCGAACTTTAGGGAATAATTAAAAGAACTAGTTAATAGAGGAAGATTCGGAGAACAGAATCTAAAGAAAATAATGTAAAGTTGAAGTGTGTGGAATCTGAGAGGTTGTTCCCTCTTCTTTTATAATAGATTGACAATTCAAGAATTTTTTTTTTTTAAAGTAATGTATTCAAAGTGTGTTTTTTTTTCATTAATTGGTCTTTTTGGATATTTATCATTTTATAGGACTGTATTCTATTCTAATATAAGGCTCTCATTGGTCTAAAATTTGAGATTATAGAAACAAATTATCCATTTCTTCTTTTTTTTGTAAAATAAATTGGCATAATGATTTCTTTTTTAAAACATTTGAGTTTGACTAAAAATTTATATAATAAAATAGTAAACTGAAAAAGGTAAAAAAGAGAAAAATTATAGCAGGAAATTATTTTTATTTGACTTGTATAATAGGATGGTAGAATAATAAATTAAGAAAGAATTTTTAGATTCTGAAAAATCCACGGACATTAATGTAATTGTTTCTACAAATCCCAAATTCTTGACTAATGAAAGTCTTAACATTAGATAGATTACAGTCAAATAAAAAGATAATACTCTAAAAACACCTACTAATGATAATGACAACCACACCTTTGAATACATTTTTTATTTTCATTATTTTAAAATTATATCTATTTTATAAGAAGAGGGAACGATCTCACAATCTCACTTCAAATTTTGCATTCTGTCTTTCCAAATTCAATCCCCAAAATCTTACTTGTAAATTACTTCATAAATTTATTAAATATTGATTAATTTATTACGTCAAAAATATTTATAAACTAAAAGAATGATCAATGACAGCATAATTATTATTTTAAAAAATAGATTTATCAGACATATATATACTTTAAGAAAAATAAATTTGATTATAGATCCAAGTCGGATCTGAATATCATGTATTGCAAAAATCAAAATATTTTGATCTAGACCCCAAACTTTCGTATATCATCTTTCTGATTGGATGGTCATAGATCTCTGATAATTTTCAACCTCAAAAGATGATATCATTTATCCAGAGATTTTTATGATGCTTTATATGAACCTTAGATGATTTTTACCACATATGAAGTACTCTTTTTTCTTTTCACTAAAAACTCGTGAGACAAAATATAAACATCAAGCAATCAAACAATTAACAAGATCATGAACAAGTATTTAGTAATAGAGAAAAGCAAAAAGTTATGCAAACATTTAAAAAATTCAAATAAAATCAAATGAATGTAAAAGATCTCAAGCTATCTATGTTTTATCAGGACATACCTTTTGCAATAAAATTTAGTCGGGTTTGAAGTTTCTTCATTGATATGGTCGAGCAATCCCAAATTTTCATGGGGTTGTTTTTGCTATGTTTTGTAGTAAGAAACAATACGGCGGAGATGATGAAGACATTAAAAACTGTGAGTATGATCCTTTTATAGAGCCAAGTTAACCTAGGTAACATGTCAAACGACGTCGAATATAATTATTTATACGACGACGTTTGGCCTGATTCAGTTTTGTGTTGCTAAGGTTAACTTTTAATACTAAAAAATCAATACAACGTCGAACACAAGTTTATCTAACGGTGTATTTTATACATACGATGTCGTTTTGTAGTTTTCAGTTTTTATCTTGTCAAACGTAATTTTATGGCTTCAGTAAGAGTAATTCACAACTTTTTGTATCAATAAATATATAGCCGGTTAATTTGTCCAGAAGCTTTTACATACATTTTTGTAGCTTCTCTCGTAAACAAAAATCCTAATACAAACATAATTAAAGAAGAAAAAAGAATGACATTAAAAAATTGTGGGTGGTCTTTTAGTGTAATTCTTATACATTATAAGTTCGACTAGGCATAAGATTTGAAGACAAAAGTAACTAAAATTCTATAATTAAATTTGCTTTACAAATATTAAATTTTTTCACATGTCCCCAAAGAGACAATATGCATTGCATAGTTTGGATAGATGGATTTTTTCTTTTTATAAATGCACTTATCATCTTATTTAATGGCAATTGATGTTAAGTGGAACTCGTATACAAAGAAGCAACAAGGGGTTTATCCTGTAAAACAATTACACTAGAGGTCTAGAGTACTTGATTCAAAAAAAAACAATCATTCACTTTGAACCATATACTCAGCTGAGAGATATTATATCAAACCCTCAGTTTTGGAAAGAGAAAAAGCCTAAAAATTCGCCATTTATTATTTTTGGACGTTTAATACTTGTACATTTTCAATTGGAATAAAATACTAAAAAAAATTTTGTTTATTTAAATTTTGGTAAATTCATACATATGATCTCAAATAAATAAAAAATTCCAATATTACCCTAACTATCTAAATCAATTATTATATTAAAAATATGGCAATAGTTTTTCATTTTATTTGATAAAAATTAACTTTTAACAAAAAAGTAACTTTATTGATATTTTGTTTCACACGTCTGTTATGAATGATTCTTTCCCTTCTTCTTTTTTCTGTTCAATAAGTAAGCTATGTTTTATCTCTTAAGAGGTTATCAAACCATTATTAATAAGAGGATCCTAGAAGTAAGATCTTCTTATTAATGATGCCCTCGGGCATCCTTATTGGGGGTATCTTAGGGGCTAAGATACCCTAAGTTTTGCAAAGAAAATATCTTATATAAAATACTAAAGAATGTTTTTTTGGAAAATCGACTTTATACTTTTACTAAAGACATAGAACCGGTTATAATATCGCTTATTTCCGATTTCTTTTGCTTTCCACATCTAGGGTTTTGACTCGTGAAGATGACAGTAGAAGAAAAAATTGAGAACATTGAAGAGACAACTTGTAAAGACATGATTAGTGAGTTGCCTGATGATTTGCTTGTAAGGATATTGAGTCTTGTCCCAATAAAATACGCAGTGGCCACCATGTTTCTGTCGAAACGGTGGCTCTCTGTTTGGACGATGATACCAACACTTGAGTACCAAGACTACGATATTGAAGATTATGTTGATTACAACGTTGACTACCATGACCATGCCGTTTGGAATTTTCTTGACCAATCAATGCAACTACACAAGGCACCTGTAATAGACTTCTTATGCGTGAAACTTGGTTACATATGTCCTACTGATGTTGATGTCGTAAAGTGGGTTGAAAACGCTGTTTCTCGCTGCTTGCTTGACCTAGAGTTCAAGCTCGCCTGGTCTGCCGATCCAACCAGCTTCCCCAAGAGTCTTTACTCATGTGAATCTCTCGTGAAACTGACTCTCTGCCACAAGATTCTCGTGGATGTTCCTTCTACTGAATGCCTACCATCCCTTAGAAAGCTCAGTCTAAACTGTGTGGTGTATAAAGATGAGAGTTCTATTGTTAGGTTCTTATCGGGCTGCCCCGTTCTAAAGTGTCTATATGTGAAGCGGAAAATGAATGACAATGTGAAAAAGTTCACTATAAAAGTTCCTTCTTTATTGGAGTTGGATTATACTAATGAACATTTAGATAGTTATGATGAAGAACATTCCCTGATTATCGATACTCCGGGATTAGAGGACTTGTACATCTATGATTTTTTGGGAGACTCTAGTTCCATCGAGAATATGCCTTTCCTCAAGTGTGCATCTATCAGTCTTGGCTCTAACCATGAAAAGTTTCTACGTTCTGTTTCTTCGGTCTCATCTCTTGCGTTAGTTTTTGATACACGCTCCGAAGGGCTAACGGACGGACAGAAAGGGTTTATCGAGTTGGCCTTCGCTCTCTCTCGATGGAACCACGAACAAAGAAGAATCGATCGATGGATCGATGGATAGACGTGATTGACTCGCTCAATAAATGGACGAACAAGAGGGATGAATCACTCAACACACTCTTAATTCGCAGCTTCAATAGACTATAGTGAATCACACACTTAAATCTAAAGAACAAACAAACACAAAGTTACTCGAACTTTATAAAGAAGAAAACGCTTTCTTTTAATTTCAATGATCAAGGGTGTTTTACAATGAAAACGAAGCTGAGCTTTATTAGGCTCATAAACAACGGTCCTAATAAGCTAAAACAAGAAAATAATCGCAAAATTTAAAGCATAGAGCCGTTTGTGACTTTATGAGAAAATCGGCCAAATAAGGAATGTTTTCTAGCTTGTATCTTGAAAGCTTGGGGAGGAATGTGTGACGTCTTGGAACATTCTGGGATGTTTTTAGAGTCTTTAAAACGCAGCAGCTTTTGTAGAAATAGAGCCGTTGATGTCTAAACACTCCTAGTGTGAATGCGCCTAGAAATGGAAAGTTGGAGTGTAAGAGGATTCGCCTAATCCTCTGGATGCTGGTGCATATTGAGGCATATTGGAGAGTCTCTAAATGGTATATTATTTCTCCTTGTCTCCAAAAATAAGACTCCAAGGAACCAAATACGGAAAGTTCCATTTTCGGCGCCATATGGCCCTCGGGTAAGGCCAAATTAGTAAGTGCAAATCCAACTCGAACCAGGGGTGGTTTGGCTCGATCATAATGCTCCATATGGTTTGTTTTGTGGTGAATAATGAAGCCGAGATCAAATGGACGAGTGAATTCTCCAAACTGCGGCTTAGCTCGCCAATGAACGTGTCCGAGGACGCTCTCATGGCCATCTCTCAAAATACCTCGATGGGGGACTGATGTTGCTCGTTCATTCCTTTTAAAATACCCATATTTTGGATGGATTTTAAATCCCAACTGGAATGGACGTGTGGTTTGGCCGGCGGTTCCATACGCTTGCTCGTGGTATGGTGGAAACGGGTCTTCATGAACGATTATGGTTTCGGATCGTTCTTCTTCAATTCTGGCTCGATAGATCTTCATGAAATGGTCACGTTTCGAGTGAATACTCATTGTTGGTCGAGAAACGTCTTCATATGGTCGGTGGAACTGAACATGGTAATATCCGGATGGGTCGTCGTGGAGAGTCTTCAATCTGGTCCGTTGATTTCTGATTTCTCCTGAACCATTAGTCTTCTTAGGGGTGATTTTATGATGAATAATCAACCCTAGGCCTTGCACTTCATCGGAACTCTATTTGGGCAAGAATCCTTCATTTTTGTCCGGTATGGTTGGTTTGAGGCTCGAACCGGCTGGTCTGGTTTGATCCTCGTATGATGTGGTTTGGATGTCCTCATCAGTTTTGTTAGATAAAAAGGTAGAACTATCTTTATTTCTCTATTAGTACTCTCTCTTGTTCCTTGTGAGCCTATACTAACGTTGTGTTTGTTTCGTTGCAGCTTGTGGGTAGTAGCGCTATCAAATTCTCTAGACTTTTAAAGTTACGAATATGTCCACGAGAATCAGATTGGTTGGAACCACTCATATCTTTACTTGAAAACTCTCCAAAACTAAAAGAACTATGGATAGATGATGTAAGTGTATATATATCCTTCTTGTCCTCGCTTTCTTAATTATGGACTTTTAATTGATAAAGTTAATTAGAATGTGTTTAACATATAGCCATCGTTGCTTCTCAGGATGGTATTGCACTTTCATGGAACCAACCGATCTCAACTCCGGGATGCTTGTCGTCACAGCTCGAAACCTTTAAATGGAAAGAATATGGAGGCACAGAGGGAGAGGAACAGTTCTTGAGATACGTCTTAGCCAACTCTAAGTGTTTAAATACCGCGATTATCGATATGAAATGCACCTTGACAATGAAATATGAAGAGGAATATCTGTTGATGGAGAAGTTGAAAGATATTCCTAGGGCTTCAACAACATCTCAGCTATTGTTCAAATATCTTTAGTGCATTTAAACACAGAACCGCTACAACAAGGATAACACCATGTTTTCTTGTAGTGAAGGATCCAACTCCAGCTAATGTGGAAACTTTAACCCTTCTAACTTGTAAACTTGACTAGTTGATTTTCATATCTTTTTCCCCATATACCTTAATTATGATAAAGCCTAAAAACATTTAAACTAAAAAAAGAGGCCATACAAATACATAGGTTAAAATTTTATGCCATTAAGCTCATTAGTAAATTTTTTTTATGGAGAATTACAAAAACCATTATTTCTCTTTACTGTTATGTAATTGTGAGTTTTGTTTATTGTTTTGGCAAGGTAGTATAAGATCTAAATTTTAATTAGCTAGATCGCTTAATTAATTTTTTGGGATTGGTATATTAAATACATTTACCGGTTACGATGTACGTATTTACGAATACGCCTATTACATATTTCTTTGGGTTTCAGCAACAAAAAACAAAAAAAAAATCGGTTTGTGTAGTTTAGAAGACATTTATATTGTTTTCATGTGTGACCATGAGTGGATGTATATACATTTCGTGTAGTTAATGATTATTTTTCATTAATTTATTCCAGCTTGCTTATATTAAATAATTTGTGTGTATATATTTAAATTGATATATGTAGCATGGCATCATTGTATTTTTATTTTGCCTATGGCACTCAAAATTCCTAGCACTGTTCGTTCTCTCTCTGAGTTTGATTCTTATAGATTTGTGCAACCACAATATTAACACAGCTTTATTATGCTTTGTTAATGATTGTTGAATCTTGTTATATATGGGATATTGAGATATGGTTGGTTGCTGTGTGATTACTATTACTACACATACTTTGTAGACTTGTAGTAGAAACCACTACTTTATTATTACACAAACTTGTAGACTTATAGTAGAAACTACTAAATTAGTTGTTAAGCTAACTCCTTAGCCCATTTAAAATTGAATATGTTTCTCTAGCATTGACCGTTTCGCAATGCCACAAGACCGAAAAATGGATCATCAATGTTGGATATGAACCTCCTCCTTTATCTGACATTATTACCAACCAAGAAAAATGGAAAAGATTCAAAAGTCTAGACTAGAGCAAAGATTAGAGATATGACTAGGCTAAGTTTTGGTTTTGTATTTATGGATCGACGACCTATTTTTACTGCATAATTTCATAACTACACAGAACTTTGATCTCGTCCTACCTAAACGAATTGGTAGTTCTACTCATATTTTTTCCCAGGATTGATAGTTCTATTTTTATTTCCCCCGATATCATAGTTCTCATCTACTTTTCCAAAAATATGGGTTTATACGGTTATTAATTTGTTTGCTGTTTTGATTAACATATAAAAGCTCCAAACTTATACATATGCACGAACTATTTGACAAAATTGGACCTTGGCTTGCAATTTATAAAATATAGGTCCAAAGGGCTATTCCGGATTAGGCCCATACAAATCCCATTAAGGTCTGATCCATTTACAACTAACCAAACTAAACCATTAAAAAAGGAAAACCGACCGGTTTCACAAACCAAACAAAACCGTACGTTAAAACCCTAATTTGCAAACGTAGGACACGCTGCAGCCGTCGTCCAACAGATATGTGGGTAATCATCTGAACAGGACCTCCGGTGGCCTGGAAGACGGTAGTCGAACGGAGATGGTGATCCAAGATCTGTTGCCGTCCCGCCACCATAAAGCTGTTTTGAAAAAGAGGAAGAGAACCAAGCTTACTTTTGCCGAGGAGGTTTTCTTGCTCTGTCTTGAGAGAGGAAAGCAGTAGGGAGTAGATGAAGAGAATAACTACCCAATCGTATCCGATCTCGTGAAATTTCCAGAGAATAACTCCCCAATCGTATCTGATCTCGTGAATCTCCCTCTTTCACTCCATGGCGCCTCACCGCCGGTAGAGCTCATACTGGCGCCGTCTCACAATTGCTTCCTAGTGCTCCCTTGATTATGAACCAATATCTTTGACGGGAAGATGTAATGAATTGCGGATGAAGAACCATTAGCCGAAGGGTCCTCATCATCAACAGAATTGACAAAGAACTCAACATCGGTTTATGAGCTTGTGATCAGAAGAGGAAAAGTTTTGGAGAGAGATATCGCCGCGAGTGAGATCCACACGCGCAAACTCTCTTCTTGATTTCCCATTTTCTCTTATTTTCCTTATTGATTTGGAAAAAACAGAAATGTTCCATAATTAGATTTAACCCCGTGGTACACCACGGGTCCATAACTTAATATATTTGTTTGGTTGATCATTTTTGTAGTTGGTTTATATAGTCTAGATTTATAAGTGTTTATTTCATTTTAATTGTATGTAAAATTTTGAATTTGTATTATAAGTAGATTCATAGATATATTTGGTCAACCCGCGATACACCGCAAGACAATTTTGTTGTAAATAAAAAATTATATTTACCTTTACCTGTAAAAGTTTCTAAATATAGACAACCCGTAAGAAAAATATAATCATATTTATGTAAACTCAAACCCGTTCAATCATATTTATGTAAACTTTTATTATCTTTTAAATATTTTTAGAGTTAAAATATTAATAAAACTTTAAAATTTTGTAGAGTTTTGATATTTTTAATATTTTTAATATTTTATAAAACTTAAATTAAAGATTATATTTTGCAGCTTTTAAAAGTTTTAATATTTATAATATTTTCAAATTTTTAAAAAAAATAAAATTTATAATAGTTTGAAACTTTTTTAAAGTTTTATTTTTTCAAATAAGTAACCAATTTAAACTGGATAAAAATTTTAATTTGGATTCCTGAGAAATAAAAGTTCATGCTCATTTGTAGTTGTGAACATTTTTTTTTTGTCAACAAAATTAAAAGATTAGCTCAAACGAGCCAATTGGGAGGAAAATTGTTTACATAAGTGACAGGATGCAGAATGGAACGAACACGTCGTGTCAAACAATCCGCATTTACATTGGCATTTCGAGGAATAAGAGATAAAGAAAAAGATGAGAATTCTTCCCTATTAATATTGATATCGTCCAGGTACACTGAAAATGCCGGCCACTTGGAAGGAGAAAATACCATCTTCACTAAGTCAGAACAGTCTATGAGAAAAAAACATCTCTGTAATCATGTCCAATCATACATCTCATTGCCCATAGCAGTGCCTCAACTTCTAAGTGGAGTGGAGAGAGACTTCGTCGGAGATTTTATGCTCCCATAATCGTAGAGGAGTCCTAAGCGTGCTGACAAACCCACCCTAATCCTGCATATTTATCTGTGTCTTTCCAGGAACCATCTATGAAACACCTGTACCCTGTGAACGTTAAAGGCAATTGAACCGGGCAAACCCTCACCCGAGAGGTATCTACAAGGATCGGAACCAATTCTGCCTCTTCTGATTGTGCCTCGCGCCAGGGCTTTGCTTCTTCCCTCGCAACCCTAGTCACCTCCTGAGGGGATTCATCCACATTTTCAAACACTTTGGCGTTCCTAGCCTTCCAAATACACCATAATAACCAAGGATAAAAATCATAGAGACCCGCTCTGATATCTAGACAAAGAATATAAGCCATATTCACATAAACAGACTCCGTTGGAAAAGTAATGGTACCCACCGGTATATGTGCTAGAGCCCAAGTCTGGCGTGCTGGTGGACACTCGAAAATAGCATTATGTACCGTCTCCACACCTGACGCACCCCGAATCACAATTTATTCCTCGCTTGCTTAGTTTGCCGAAACTGAGACACAACCTATGAGCACTTGCCACAAAAGTGGTGGATGTTTGGTGGGCACCGGACTTTCCAAATACTCGATAGCAAAGGAATAATATCTGGGCCAAAATACCGTACTAACTGAGCTCCCAGGATCCGGCAACCTGGCTGAGTGATAACCAGATTTAACTGAATATTTTCCATTCTTCGTAAAATGCCACCTTAAAGAGTCCTTCGTGGCTCCGCTGCCAATAGGCAAAAATCAAAGCAGCTTCAAACGGGTCAAAATACTAATTGAGAGTATCTAGACACCAAGAGTTGGTCTGGCGATCAACTAAATGACTAATTTGTAGAGAAGTGTCCATAAGCGACCCATTACTTAAAGCTGGTCTCGGGAATTGAGCCGGAATCCATGGGTCTGACCATACAAAGATTGTGTCCCCTAGTCCAACTCTTTTAATAATCTCTCTATTAACCAAAGATCTAGCAGATGAAATACTCCTCCAACCGTAGGAAAGGGAGTAAGATTTTATCGGTCCCATAGGATTTGAATTCCTATAATATCTACCTTTGAAACCTTAGGAAAATGACAACCATGGACATCAACCAGTCTCCATAATTGCTTAGCCATAAGAGTCGAGTTAAGATCATAGACGTTTCTAAAGCCTAAACCACCCATTTGCTTAGTGGGTCATAATTTCTCCCAAGCTCGCTAGTGCATACCCCCCCCCCCCCCGCCTGACCGTTTGTACTCCACCAAAAATTCGCAATAGCACTTGTCAGTTTTGAAGTTATAGTCTTCGGTAGACGAAAGCATGACATCACATGGTTCGATAAGGTAAGCATGACATCACATGTGCATAAAGCAAAAAAAATGGCGATAGAGGATCTCCTTGCCGTAATCCCCGTTCCGGGATTATTGACCCTTGCAATTGTCGATTAATGAGAACACGATACTCAACAGAGGATACACAAAACATAACCCAAGATATCCATTTTTCTGAGAAACCAATTTTTGTCAGCAAATGTTTGATAAAATTCCATACGACCATGTCATAGGCCTTGCTCATGTCCGTCTTGATGGCGATAAATTTGGTCTTGCACGAAGGATTAGTGCGGAGACCATGAAAAATCTCTTGAGCTATCCAAATATTGTTTGAAATCAGACGTCCCATCACAAAAGCAGATTGATTTTCCGAAATTAACCGTGAAAGTACCGTTGGCAAAGAACCTTTCAAATCACCTTGTATCCTACATTACATAACCTAATAGCACGTACTTCCGTCATTCTAGTCGGTCGTGGT